TCTTTCATACCAACTAATTTGCATGTTTGAGGTTCTAATTTGATCTCGTTAGTAGATATCACTCTGTTACGCTGTATTATTACATTTCATTTCCTATGCATTAAATGTCTTGAAAATGTAAATTATTCCTTATACTCCATCACATTCTTTATATTTTAATGACTATAGTATAGTTTCGTCATCTGGATTTTTTACTCAATATTATTAGATGTTATTCTGCTGAAATTGAAAATCTGCCATAACAAATAATTTTGTTTGATTGAAATACGTTAGGCAAAAGTGTACATTTTGAATCGATGAAGGAAGCAAGATCTCTCAAAATAGTGATAAGCAGAGAAAAATACGCACGTACGGACGCACGATCATCATACAAAATGATGGGTTAAAATACAGTATTAGGTACATACAATATTACATAAAAAAGGATAAACAAATAAATGGGTTTGTTAGATCTTTTTTGTATCCAAGAAATAAACAGAGAAGTGAGGATATAAAATAAAAATCTTATTACGTCCTAGAAATTATTTTGACATTAACAAGGATAAAAAGTATAACAGGAACTTGAAGCATAGAATTAAAATAGACGGAATAATTTTGTTCACATTCTGTAGACAGGTTTGAATAAAAATATTATTGTCACTTATTTTATCCTGTGTTAGTAGTTCTGGTCGATAATTGCTTTTTACATGAAACATCAATTGAGTTATTTATTTCTTCTCTATCAAAAAGAAAATCACTTTATATACCTTTGTTTATTACGTCCACAGTATTTGAGAAAAATATCAGGTGATATACTCATGAAAAGAAAGAGAGAAATGTTTTATCTGTTCAGGTAAATAATCCCTTTCGTAAGGGGAGGTTGGAAATTAAAATGATTCTGACATCACTGATGAGAGCCTACGATAATAAGTGATATTTTTGAGATTAGGTTTTATTGTTAAGTCCCCAAAGGTGCACTAAAGAATAAACAATGACATGTACTCTTACATGAATAAATGCTTATCTGAAACAAATTTTATGTCAAATAGCTATAAGACAACAACTCGTGTGAAGTTTGAGTAGTTGACTTCTGATTGGTTAAATAATAAATTACGGGTAGATCATATTTAATTATCAAGACTGGAAACAAGCATTTTATCATTGTCATGTCTTTACTGAAATTAAAATATAGATGCATATCACCTTTTGTCATCTAAACTGATATGTAACAGTTAATGTGTTATACGGAAAGAATGATTATATAAATGTGTTTTTGACTCAGTTTTATTCTTATGAGTGATAAAAACTTGACGAAAATGTAAATGAATAGTTGTGCTGGGAACCAGTATGTTAAACATTGGAACTGAATGTAATATTTATTAAAGAAAGGTTATAATTTTGTACAAGTTCAGTAATCAGTATTATTTATAAGCAAACATAATTAAAAAGAACGGACATTTTTGATAACTTTCTCATCAGACACTACAGTTATAAATTGAAAATAATCATTATTACACAACGTGAAAGTTAGCCAATAATATCTGCCAATTCATCAATCGAGATCTTGATTTTAAATTGGTCTATTATTTATTCTACAGCTTAGTTTCTCAGACGTAGCCACTAGCACTATTTGTCCTTGAGCTGACAGCCAAGCTTCTATTGGTTTTCTATTGCAAGCTTCTTTCTTTACTTTGCATTTTAGTCCAGAGGTGAACAGATACCGGCATGGTTAGGAAAAAGCAGTAAAATTCTATCAACAGTAGCATCCTTTCCCACTTAATCGATTGTATACATAGTGTTAATACTAAAGGTGACTTTTCAGTTATATACCAAGTTCTTAATAAACTGCCAAAAGGCATAGGGATTTGTTTACTCTATATAGCTGAAATAGTTGGCATCACTTAAAAGAAACTCATTCAACTGATGTGTAGAAAAAAGATACATACATCTCGTTTGTTAACCTTGGCCCTCATCATGGTCGTTTCAATTTTAGTTCCCGTTGTGTCATTCCCTCTTCATTATGATGTACTATCCATTCCAAGACATTTCTCTTACCTTTAATTATACATTCACCTTTCTTATTCTACATGATATTCTTATTATTGATGCTATTATTATCATAATAACAACTACTATACGACGATTCCCATGTTGTCCTAAGTTGTTTTACAAACGATTTGATTCTATTGATTAAAATTCATGATCTTAATTAAGACTTAACTTTTTCTTACCCCTTATCTATGACCTTTTTCAACATTACCAATAGTATTGTTTTGTTAGTTTGCAAGACTCAATCGATTTGAAGTTTGCCATTTTTAATTAATTTTCGGATGAATCTAACTTTACTATTTTGTTTGTTGTAACAAAAAGATAATATCACTAAATTTATAACTGTAGAGTCTTGTGAAGAAATCATTGGAAACGATGGTTTAATCTAAGACTCTTTGTTTTTAAATCACCATTTTCCCTGTAATTATGTTTGTTGTATAAGCGCAAATTTTATAAACATTTTTATCTTGAAAAAAAATATGTTGAAGTTCCCATACCTTATGAATGATTTTTTGATTTTTGCAGTTATGGATAGTGAATACTGATCTTTACTGGAACATCAATAGATACTGGTTAATATTAGTGTGAAAAGTTATGAAAATTATTAAATTGTATAAATTGCATTACAAATAATTAGAGTTAACTGAATGTGGAAAATATAAACCATTGTATACTAACTCCAAACATTAAGAAATTGTATCAAACCTAAAGCTCTTCGGTTTTATCCTTGATAAGGGTTAAGAAAATGTTTTGTTGAGAAGTTCTATATTACAACAAAGAACCTAATTGTTTCTTCCAGCCTTTCAATTTTTGTCCAACTAAAATTAGTCAGTTATATAAACTACAAGATAGTGGTCAATCCGACTAAAAAAAAATCCAAATTTCAATCACCCGCTTTAAAATTTTGTTTCTAGCTATTAGTAAATTTCATCAAAACAAAAAGTTGCATTTCTAAATGAATCAATTAGATCATGTTTAGATATTCACTAACACAATCTATTAAATTTACCAATAAATTAGCATAAATTCATTTTTTTCTTTAAAAATTATCCCTAAATGTTTTATAAAATTCCAAAATATCCGAAAAAAAATTGTTTACCTTCATTTTTTTAAAAAAATTAAATGAACAGTAAAATCTTGATTAATAAAAATAAAAACCACTGGGAATTAATGGCAAATAAAATGAAGTTATATATATATATATATATATATATATATATATATATATATGAAGTATTGAGAATTACATTTGAACAAAGGATTCTTTGTTCAAAGTATTCACTGACACTATGGACTGAATAAATGATACAAATTGATAATACTGATTAACAATTATGCATCAATGACAATTATTCAAATGAAACGTTTTCAAGTGTATTATTTAAATGATTAAAAAGAATAAGTAGCAAAGTAATGATCGATTATAATATACAGAGATGAATTGTCGAATCAGTAAAAATCAGGTAGAACTGGACAGTAGTATTGTTTTTGTTTGGGACTACTCTAAAATAAGGATCAATTACTTTATGGAAGATTGAATCTATTTTATCATTGATGAACAAGATATTCTTAGATCACTATGTAAAAATTTAATGATTCAGATTAATAATGAGCTATTTAAAAGCTACGAGGTTAATGATTGCTTTTCTCAATACTGACATTATTGACTCCATACATTGATTAAACTAGGGAAACTTCATGCCTATGTCAATTAACACCTAGTAATTAATAATTAATGAAGTCACTGGTTTTATAGAAATGTCTTGCGTATTTTGACGTTTGTTTTTTTTATTAATAAACGTAATAATCATTCTCTGGTAACCATTATCTAGTTTCCAGACATAGATTACGACATTCTCACAGAAAACCGTACTGTATCGAATCAACTATGTCACTAATGAGACTGGAATTATTCAATAAGCTCAAGTCAACACAGTGTGATTCACTAAGTAATATTAGTTTATGGTACAAATTATCTATAACTACATGCACTCATTGGGATCATTTAGTTGTGACTCTAAAATTATTGGTGGCCGTTACGTTTAGTTCACAACTAATAGGTTTCAGGTCCAAAGTGTATCCCTTTAATTACAACTTAACCCATTTAGATATTATTATCAACCATCATGAAAGTAGTATGTCTCAAATTTGACTACGTTAACATTTTCCTGGTAAATGAGTTTAGTTGACTTTGAACTTGTAATTAAACATGAACTCCGGTTTTAGACAAGTGCATTGTTAAAATTAAAGCAGTTGAATATTAAACTCAAAGAAAGTATTCACTGGTAGATGTACTAATTTTCAACATAAATGTCAAGACAGGTCTACTGTATGGGGTGGAATCTTTGAGAACTACGAAAACCATCATGCAGAAAATACAGGTGTTTATTAACAATTGTCTACGCAAAATACTTCAGATTCATTGGCCAGACACTATTAGCAACAACGTACTGTGGGAGAGAACAAACCAGATCCCAACGGAGGAAGAAATCAGGAAGAAGAACTCGAAGTGGATAGGACGCTCATTAAGGAAAGCACCGAACTGCGTCACAAGACAAGCCCTCACATGGAATCCTGAATGCCAAAGGAAAAGAGGAAGACCAAAGAACACATTACGCTGAGAAATGAAGACACACATGAAAAGAATGAACAACAACTGTATAGGACTGGAAAGAAGAAGTAGAACAGAGTGGGTTGGAGGATGCTGGTCGGCAGTTGAGATTCACAGGCTTAAGTAAGTAAAGTAAGATTTACTAATTGAATATTTAATTTCGTATAACAATTCCTTCATAAAAATTTAATGAATTGAATGTTTAGATTAGTATATACAAATCTAAATAAATCTCTAAATCAGAATCAAATAAAAACTGTTTCACAATAAAGTAAAACATATTCAATGAAATCATTCAGCAAGAACAAGTAACAAGAGAAAAAAATTTATACAATGACAGAAAAGTACATGATTAACATACTTTAAATTCGCTAGCACATCACGAAATGCATCAGGTAGTCGATTGATCGGAGGAAACACATAACTAAATTTTAAATTGAAAAAGAATGATAACAAGAATAAAGGTTTACATCTATTTAATCAATTATATATATATATATATATATATATATATATATATATATATATATATATGGAATTTTATTCATCATATTCATCATAACTAGGAGTCACTGGAGAGCTGTCTCATCCTATCATGGGAGTCCTCAGTAGTGCGCATCGACCAACCTTATCTAGGTCCAAACCCAAGACCTTCAGGTCTTTAGACTACTGAGTCTGTATTGACTGATCTGCATTTCTAATTTAAATTGATTCCCGATATTGTACGATTATCATCCATTAGCACTGGTGATATTTATCTCGTTGGTTATGTTATATGCTAGTGAAGAATAAATTACGGGTAACTTCCGAGGACTATTAATGGACTAATATTGTATAAATATTCTTATGGTATAATGATTCAATAATTAGATTATATATTTATATTTCTCTTATTATAAGCTTCATTTTGACCTATAATTTATTATTATAAGATTTACTGTCCCTAAATTATGCTCAGTTTACTAACTACTGCCTCCCACGTTCACAGCCACTTTTTGGCTTTATTGTGTACAAATGTTATTTCCTATTTTATGGTGCGTTGCGGTCTGTTTGTTTGATATATAAACACAGTATGTTTGAAATAAATGATTCGCATAGTGGAAGCTGGTATTGGCTATCTGGGCTCAAGTGAACGGGCTAGGCGGACAAAGGACCAATAGGGATGCTAGGCTGTCCATACCGGTCGAACGTCACTGGCTTGGCACAGTGCTAAGATTGTATAAGTCGTATTTTGATTGGTGGATAAATCACGTGTAAAAAGCCGAACATAAAGTCATAACAGGTTACGTGGTTTAACTTCACTGGTTATGTTCTCACGCTAGAACTCTAGTAATTACTTAGTAAGGCACCAGTGAATGCATGCTACACTGAATTGTTACAAATGAATGATCAAAGTTTTAGTAAAAAATATGAAATTTATGCAAAACGACGTTATGCTTAACAAGTACCACATAGATATTACACTGAATATAAACGGATTTTATATCGAGGTTAAAACATATTCTTGGCTTTTATCTCATCGCAACAGGAAGTAATCAGTCAACCTTATATTATAACGTTATTTGATAGATTTATGGATTAGTCATGGCTATTGCATTTTTTCCCCAAATCTACTCCTACTAATCACTTATAAATAAAAGCATTGGATTGCATTTATTTCTAATCTAATTAGTGAGTAGTGTAAAAGATAATTATTTTTAAACCTTAACTATCATAAATGTGTTCTATAGTTATATTGAAGCGAACAAGTATTTGTAAGACAGTAAACTGGTTCATTTTTTATGATATTGTAATTAAATCTCAGCTGATGTTTAATACTAAACAATGAGAAGATTGTCATTCAAAAATCTTGGTAAAATGGAATAATATTCCCAGTCTAATAAAAACATTAATTTAAATAATTATTATTAAGGGATTGAATATGGGGTTGTGTAGGGTATTTTTGTTTAGTATTGCACCCCTAGTATTACACATTATTTTAAACCATTTTAATGGGATTTAAGTCAATGTGGTATTTCCTTGGATTAATTTAGTGTGACATATCGTTTCATATCAATTTATTATTGCTTCTATTAATGAATGAATTGTTCAAATAGGTTTGTATAGAAATAAGTTAATTTGTTAAGAAGGAAAACAAAAGAAGTTTTTAAGTATTCGGATAGTGAGATACATAATTATTTATCTTTTCCATTGCATTGGACCATTTCAGTCTCAGTTTCGCTAATGATCAATTTTTCATTCTTACTTCTACTTTCAGTTACAACCAATAGTCATAGTATCAAGTCAGAATCCGAAGCTAATTTTCCTCACGAATTGATATTATTTGATGAACCAATATTATTCAGATTTCATTTTTTGAGTCATGAATTATGCAACCCAAATCAGAAATTCTATAAAAAAACCTTCAAAATTTCCCAGTAAATAAGATTTTAATTTCATATCAGAATGTGAATAATCAGAGTTTTTCTTTGTGATAAAGTTGTGTTCTCTGAGCTGAATGGTTTAGTCTTGCAGCTTTCACCGTTATTCTGAACGACATCACCAGCACAAACTTCAGGTAAAAGTGAATTGTTCTAATTTCTCCACATTTGGCTTACAGCTTCTCCTGTAGACCTCAATGTTAATTGATTTTTCAATTTTTTACATTATGTTTCCACAAAACGATATTTTAAATGGTCAAAGATTACATTACTGATTAAACATAACATGGTAAACATGGAAAATCATTAGATTTTAATTATCACTGATTTTCTAGTTAATAGGAAGTCTATGACTGAAAATACAAACTAAACTATCTCACAAAATGTTTCATGATAATAATTTTGCATAATTGATTATTGTCAGTATCATTATTATTCAAATCTCAAGGAATAGTATTTTTAACTCAGGTTTTACGTCAGTGGCAAAAAAACTAATCAAAGAGTAAACATTCATTGCATTATTTTAAAAATAGCAACAATTCATGGGGAAAAAGGTTCCTTTTCAGCTGTATAATTCGATAATACTACTGTTTTACACATAGTATTTTGTAATGAAATGGAACATTTACGCATAATCAACATAGCTAGAAAAATTTAATCAAGAATGTTCACTTATTGGATGATGTTACACAATATTCGAATGGTAGTAAGAATTAACATAACATATAGAAGAAACATATATCCACTTGATGGTGCGATGGAAATAGGAAAGCGCTGAAAACGTGTAAGAAACTAAAGAAAAAGGTAGAATAATACAAATACTGTGAAATAAGTGACTGAACATATCATTTCGGAACACAAAGACCGGGCTCCTATTGATGAATTATCAAAAGATACTAATGAATATATAAAATAATAACAAACATGACTACAGCTTTTAGTCAGTAATATGGTCGAAAAAAAACTAAACTGTCGATATTCTCCTGAATGCAGATTTGTTCGGGAGAATTAACGCATCTTTCAGTTGTCAAATCCGCCTGTATTCTTTCTAGAGTGACTGCCGGTCCCAAACCTGTATAAAGGAGGATTGGGAATAGAGTCTGCAACACCATCCAGCAAAAAACAACCTTGCTAAAAAACGCTAACCTGAAAAAACAATTTAAACCGTTTAAACTCTGCCCTACGATTTGAAGGATTCTTATTTAGGAGCGTTATGACGTTTTATAGTGAAAGCCGAGATTCTTCATAAATTAAGACACCGATGCCCCTTCTGACAACCGTAGCAATAATAAATATAGGTATATTAAATGTCCTGGTACTGTGGAAGACTAGAAGGACTGGTCAAATTGCTGCGGAAATGAGTAAATACTACTTGTTATTTGTCGGAAGTGTTTCCCACATACAAAAAGTTGCACCGATGCTGTTCAAAGAAGAATGGAAAGCGCTCATAGGATGAGAATCTTATGGATCCAGAATCATCCAATCATCCTTCAAAACAGAGAGAAAAGAAGGCACAATGGACTCACCAATGATAGCAATGAAGACGATCAAGATCAGTTTTACGAGAGCTGGTAGTCGGTTATGGAAAAGTGATCAGGAAAGGACCTTACCATCCTAATGAGAGACCTAAACGCCTAAGTCGGAGTGAACAACACTTGTTATAAAGACACCATGGGATGATATGGACTAGGGCAAAAAACGAGAATAGTGGCAGATTTGCAAATTTATGTGCGTTCAAAAAAATGGTCATAGGTGACAGTACATTACCCCACAAACACATACACAAAGCTAAATGGGTTTCACTGGATCAAAGTACAGAGAATCGGATCGATCATAATTACATCAGTAAAAAATTCAAAAGGTCGATGGAAGACGTAAGAACCAGGAGAGGAGCCGACATAGCTTCAGATCACTATCTGGTGTTTGTCATGATGAAACTTAAACTAAAGTAGCGAGGGACAACTGAACAAACAGCATTACATAGGTCCAATATAACCTTCCTTCGACTAAACATGTTCACCATTGTATTCCTACTCAGTGGTTTGCAGATTAACAGCTCGCTTCAAAATATTACGGTCTTTATCTCGATGACTAATACTGTCGTGTATTCGTACAGTTGGAAGTCGCCCACTAAGACGTGATAGCTGTTGGTTTTCAATAATTAATCAACTAAGATCGGTCGGTGGTACAAACTATAAAAATAATTGCTGGTCTAAACTAAAAAATCATCAATAATATTGCTTACTTTTTACTTCTAGCCAAATACCATCATTTAAGATTCAATCAGAACAAGGTCGACTGGTCTGGCCTGTCAATAGGGTTATACTATGAACAATAATCTAAAACATCCTGTATATGTTAACCTAAAGTGAATCCCAGTCATGTAACATGACTTAGTGATAATATCTCTGACTGTAAAGCTGAATTATATGACCTCAGTCTTAGTTCCTTTGATAATACAAAAACGATATACTAACAAGCAGTACCTAGTGTTTATTATTGTCTAAAACCAAATGTCTAATATTAGATTAGTGGATCTGCCGTCTAAGTTTTTGATCAATATAATATGAAAAAATATAATCAATATTTCTATTGTTAAAAATAGCAATATTTTTTCTTAGAAAGTTTGCTTAGCGGTACAAAAAAATGCACATTTATTTTGATTTCACGACAAAATATTTTCGTTTTCACAGAGAAAAAGAACGAAGGTACATCAAGACATAGGTACACGTATGAATAAAAATGAACATATTCCCTTACATAACGAAATAGATAACTATTTAGTAAGACAATTTACAATAAATGTGTGAAATCCCCTGAAATATCTGATTACGTAATTTAGTAGTTTTTTTTAAATTATTTCCTTTATAATCCTAAATACGATAACTGTTGTTTTTTACACTTTGACCAACGGAAGTAAGACAGGGACAATTTAAAATAGGATGTTTGATATTATATTCAAAGAAAAGTAATCTTTCCAATACTTAGTTTAGTTGCGTGTTCA